TCCCAAATTGCCAACTCCCACTCAGGTGTAGGAGGGGTTCCCCTCCAGACGGTGCTAACTCTCTGGTCACAGTCATAGTCTTAGCGTCCCACACTCCCTTCCCAGACTCCTCTCTCAGTATTTCCTAAAATTACCACCTGTTTGACTGCATGAGCTTGAATTGCGGTCTCAGGGTGTCCTGGGCAAACCCAAACTGAAACTGGCCCAACGACACTGCCAAATACATTTCTGCTGAGTAAGTACAGAATAATCCATGCACCGAGTCAGGCTTCCTCCTGCAGGGGGCTGTAAACTCCCCGAGGGCTGAGGCTGCCTGGTTCACCTCAGTGTCCCGCTTAATAGGTGTGTCTGCCTCCCAGCCACCATTCAATAAAAGCTGCATTGAATTAGGTGACCTCGGACAACCAGTTAGTGGGAAAGGAAAGGCTGCTGCATAAAAAGCTGTGGGTTGTCCTGAGGTGGAGGTGAGATTTCTTTGACCATCTTCCCTCACAGGGCCTTTAAAGGACAGGCACAGTGGTGACCAGATCTCCCCCAGAATGGAAATGACTTCCTTATGAGATGTGGTAGGGTAGAGAACTGGAGAAAAGCGGCAGTGAGAGGGCCCTGTTGTGCTCTGATGATATAGCCTCTTCGCAACACAACACACGTCCAGAGGGTGGCAGGGATGGCCACGGAGATGATTGATGCTTTACTGGCACCTTCCAGAGATTCAGTGCTGGCCACAGCTGCAGGATCCTGCTAAAAGACCGTAGTCCTAAGAGGTGCCCCAAGTGAGGCCTCCCTTGCTCTGGCCCTTCAGTGTCCTGCTGTTTCTGCTGCTTGCTTTGTACATGAAAGGTTTGCTTTCCCGGTGTCCTGGAATCTGGTTAGTGCTGAAGTTTTCTTTTGTGAAGCCAGGTGTGTGTGTATGCGTGTGTGTGTGTGTGTGTGTGTATGTGTGTGTGCGCAGTGGGTGACTTGCAGGAGCAGGTTGGGAGAGCCCTAACACCCTCCCCCCACCCTGCATCTGCTGTGTGTGAATACCAGGCCTTAGCAGTCAGATCTCTTCCATCCATATTATAGGATGCCTCTTAATGAGATAATAAACGTGGACACTCTTAGGAGAGTACCCAGCACAGAGTAGTTGAATGCTGAGTAAAAAACGCCAGCCAGAATTGGATCTGATGGACAGCTCCTTTTATGGTCAGGCTTCCAGTCCTCTGTGCAGGTGACGGAGTGTGGGTCTTTGAGTTGTAAAGCTCTACCTTGGAAGCATGGTTAGTTCATTGCACAGCAACGCTCTACCTCCGTTGCAGCGGACATGGATGTGCTACTGTACACACAAATGCAAGAGTTTACTTCTGCTTGTTTGTTTTGTTTTATCAGTTTGACACAAGCTAGAGTAATCTGGGAAGCAGGAACCTCAGTTGAGTGGAGGCCCCAATCACATTGTCTATAGGCAAGTCTGTGGGGGTATTAGCTTGATTAATGAATGATGGGGGTGGGGGGCTAGCCTACTGCCAGTGGTTCCACCCTTGAGCGGATATTTCTGGTGATCCTGGGAGGTATAAGAAAGCAGGCTGAGCAAATCATGGGGAGTAGTCCTCTGTCCTTCAGTGCGCCTCCAGATCACCCAGAACACTCAATGTAGCATAAATATTATGTAAGTAATTGTGGATTCTTCGTGGGGTTATTTTAAAGTGGGTAGGATTTGAACCCAGGGCCTTTTGCATAAATGGTGAATTATCTACTACTGAACTACACGCCTCCCCCAACCTTGGAAATGGTTGCTCTACTATATTCATATTGTTTAAGGAATAATGTCTAGAAAAAAAGTCTTAACATTTTCAGTATGGATACAGATTAAGTTTTTCCAGTGCTTTCTATTTGCAGTTGCCTGGATCCATTGATATGAAACCTGTGGATACATGGAGCTGCTGTAACCCCAAACCCAACCTGTCCTTCTGCATAGGGCTAGGCAGCAGCAGAAGCAGGATCAGACCTGACTTCATGCCTGGCAGAGCTGTTTGGGTTCCGCTTTAACCCATTGCCTTCTCCGTTTATTAAAGGCCTCAGTGGGAATGAGCCAGGCCCACAGATTTACCTTTGGAGAAGAGAGATGAAGTCCTGGTAAGGCTTCCTAGGTGTCTGTACCGCTGCTTATAGGAGCTGAGCTCTCTGTGCGCTGTGGTCCGTATTTCCAGAAATGGACTGAACTCTTTTCTTCCTGTGTGAAAATCTGTTTGTCCGTGGGCTCGAGCTGGGATTTAAAAGCTGGATGTTCCTCTTGCTTCTGGCTTCTCTAGGTCGCTTTTCTGTTGCCAAGCTGTGTTCTCATTGAGTGAGAAAAAAAAAAAAGTTGTCCTACCTTGCTTATTGGAATGCCTGTGTCTGACAGTGTCAGTGCCTTGTGTGTGTGGCATTTTGTTGATTTTCAACGTGTTTTTGGCTTCTCTGTCTCACTGCATAGTGATGTGCTGGGCATTCTGTATTTGTTCACCATTTTGATAAATGTGGATACCTTTCTTTTTCTTCCAATTTTGCCCCATCTTCATTTTCCAGCTACTTGTTCCGAGGGCTGAAGGGAGAGGGGATTTTTTTAAAGGCAGGAAAGGGAGCTATAAACCAATCCCATTTCTGGTGGCCAAACGAAGCGAACCCAGCTGCTTTTTATAGACCAACCCTGAGACAGTTTTGTCTGCTGGGCTCACCACATCCGCAGAAGTGCTGAGAAGAATGTGACTTAGTAACTGTCCCTATCCGTCTATACCTTAAGTGCTCGGTGAAACACCTCCTGCGATGGCCAACTCAGAAGTTAGGTCCAAACAATCCTTTTTCTGAATTTGCTTTTTGTTTGCTAGGTTTTTGTTCCAGAGATTTTTCTTCTTCTTTCTCAGCATAGAACTTTGATGTTGCTATAGTTAGTATTGTCATTGCCAGGTAGCCCAAGCTGTCGTTGAATTCTTCATCCTCCTGCCTCAACATCCCAAGGGCTGAGATTGTGGCTATGTGCTACCATGTCCAGTTTAGGGAATGGTACTGCCCCCCATGTTTGGCACTGCAACACTCCACACCTCCATCCCTGATGGAGAAATTTTGGCTTCATTTGTACTTTTTGGTTTTTTTGGTGCAATGAATGTAAAAGATGTGCTGCGTTAAAGCCGCCTACAGAGTGGGTCTGTAGATTGTACGTCAGAGGTTGTCTTTAGAGCATTTGGGAAATTCCTTTTCTGTTGGTTAGGATGGAGACAGACCCAGGAAGTCCTGAAGCTCAATTCTTATGGTCTCACATATTTCATGTCCTGCCCCCCTCACCCCATCCCAGGTGCAGAGTGTACCATACCTGCTGAGTATCCGCCTCCCTCATCCCATCCCAGGTGCTGGGTGCACCATAGATGCTGGGTGCACCATAGATGCTGGGTGCCTAGAGTCAGACAAACCCTAGGATGCCATGGCTGAGAGACACCAAGCAGTTTGTTTAGGTTCCTCTACTCCTTGCGTTCCCCCGTCCCATCTTTGAGTGCCCACTCCATTCTAAAGGAGTGGAAGAGTATCTGAACTGAACTCAGTGACGCCTGAATCTGTCTTCCTGCCACTTCTGTTCAATTTAACAAAGATCAAGTGCCTACCAAGCACCAGGCACTGTTCCAGGGAATGGAGTCAGCACAAAACAGGTAGACAAAAATCATTTCATGGCTAGATCTGCCCCTTGGTGCCGTGCAAGGCAAGCCTGAGAATCCTGTGCAGAGGTCCTTCAGTTACTTGTGGGTGCTCAGGGTTCTCTTGAGTCTTACCATCAAGTGGAGCCCTTGATTAATCCAAAGTAAGGCTCTTCTCACGCATGTATGTTACAGGATCTTTCAATAAGTATCATTTAATGAATATTGAGTTCAATATTTGTTAAGTATTGAATTGATTTTTCATAGGCATTTTTAACTTTGGTTTTGTTATAAAGACACCTGAAAAACCATTCCGGAAAATTAAGATAAAGGGAAGATGCAAAGAAGAAGAGCTGGTCATAGGAACCCCTTTCTATAATCCTGTCACTTGGGGTACTGAGGCAGGAGTGTTGCTCTGAGGCAAAGCCACATGGGCTACATCGTGAGTGCCAGGCTAGCCAAGGCTACATAACAAGGCCCTGTCTCAAGAAAAGAAAGGGAGAAAGAAATCACTTGCAGCCCTATTCTCACTGTTAAAATGTGTATTTCTTTTCTCTTTTTCCAACCCACATCTGTTTACATAGTTGAGAACATAGTGGATTAGTTATGTTGAATCCTGAGGTTAGTGGGGGGCAGTGTTGGGTTTTTCCCCCCTCTGTTAAATGAGTTCAGACTGAGCTGGGGTTGAATTTAGGCCTTGCATGTGTCAGGCAAGCACTTCACACAGCACCACCAGAGCTCTGTTCCTCCTTCTAACATTGATATTTGCATAGATGAAATGTAGCTGTATGTTGATGAATTGTTTAGGTGGGTGTGGTATAGCAGGGCCTGGAATCTCAGCCCCCGAGGCAGAAGAATTTTGAGTTTGAGCTAGTCTGTGCTGTATCATCAGATCCCTTTTTTCTTTTTTCTTTCTTTCTTTTTTTCCTTAATGATGGTATGGAAGTGGTTGCATAGTGTTTCTGCCAGTAGATTTGCTGAGGGTCAGTCACTGAAGAGTAGGGATTCCAAAAATGGGCGGCATTGATGCATTTGCTTCCAAGCCAACTGGCCCCAGAGCAGTCCTGCCTCCCGGGAAGAAGGGTCTGCCCCCAGCTGCGCTGTGGCTTCTCTTTTGTGCATCACTCTTGCGTGTTGCCTTCTCTTTCTCCCTGCTCATTCCCTGTATCACAATCACGCTCTGCCCATTTGTTGGAGGATGGTGCTGTCTTCTGCCTTCTTACCGCGTACACCAGCATACACCAGGGTGCCCGTGCGGCTGGTCTGAGGCTCTCTTCTGGCCAGGTGAACTCTGGAAGCATTTCTTCCAGTTGACAAAGCTCTGGCGAGTGCTGAGCTCACGCTAGCCCTTGCTTGCAGGCCTGCAGCTAAGCCAGAAGCCCCTGACCACCTTCCCAGATGTGGTGGTCGTCCGATTATCCACGCCCTCCGTCCAGTCAGATAGTGAAATCACCATCCTGAGGCACCTGGAGAAGCTGGGCTGCCGCTTGATCAACCGTCCTCAGAGCATCTTAAACTGCATCAACAAGTTTTGGACATTCCAAGAGCTGGCTGGACATGGGGTCCCCATGCCAGACACCTTCTCCTATGGTGAGTCTCCCCAAACACATCAGTCCTTTCCAAAACACTAGTGTGTGTCTCCCCATCCCCACCCCACCCCACCCCCACTGCTCCCCAAGCCTCCCTGTGTCTCTGGTTGCTTTTTCCCGTGAATCTGTCTGCTTACCTTTGGGGAATCCCTCTGTGTAAACTGCCTTGGCCACTTTCTGTTTCTAGTCATTCAGTAAACATGCACCAGCCACATAAGAGGCTGGCTTAGTCACTGTCCTATGGCTGTGAAGAGACACCATGACCAAGGGGACTCTATTACAGAAAGCATTTAACTGCGGCTCCTTTACAGTTTGAGAGGTTTAGTCCATTATTATCGTGGTGAGGACCCTGGCAGCGGGCAGGCAGACAGGGTGCTAGAGAAGTAGTTGAGAGAGCTATATCCTGATCCACAGGCAAGGAAGGAGACAAAGCCCAGTCCCGTGACACACTCCTCCAACCAGGCCACGCCTCCTTATCCTTTACATTCTATCAAAGAATCCTCCCACTCCCCGGTGACTAAGCATCCAAATATGTGAGCTTAGAGAGGGCATTCTTATTTAAACGGCTGCAGAGGCTCAGCGCTAGGGCAGGACTGGCCTCAGAAACAAAAGGCCACAAATACACAGGCAGTTTCCCTGCGGTAAGGTCAGTGGTTAGGTGAGAGAATTATTGCTTTTGGGTAGTCCAGTTCATTGGAGAGCTCTGACCACTGTGATCAGACTTCAAGGACCACTTCCTTAAAGAGGTAGCATTAACTAAGCTAAAGATAGCCTGTGAAAAGCAGGGCCAGGAATAGAGAGCAGAAAAAGAGCCAGAGGTAAAGAGAACATGTTTAGCTGTTTCACCAGTAGCTGCAGAAGGTTAAGGGTGCTTGAGAGAGAATTGAGGCCTTAGACGGGAAAGATAAAAATGATGCAGCAATGCCACGGACATAGTGGTGTCTCAGGACTAACAAGAGGCTTCTGATCAGGAAGTACCCAATCAGAGTCACCCTGCAGATCACTTTGGCCACCACACAGAGAGTGAATTACACACGACAAGGTAGAGGCAGGGTAGGCAGTGGTAAGCTTCTTCAGTGAGTGTGGAATGGTGTTGCAAGCTTGTAGATATGCGAGCAGATTCAGGAATGGCGAGAGCAACAGAAATAATAGGAATAATGACTGTCTGGGGGACGCGGGGAAGAACCAGGGTGACGAGGTTCTGGCTTGGGTCACCAGGTGCCAACACAGTCATGGACTGAACTGGAAATAGGAAGAAGCAAACTGGTTGTCAGGTGTGTAGCTGGCAGGGGAGAGGATTTCAGTGGAGAGCTTGGTCTGTCTGAGGCATTTCCAGTCTGTGCAAGGGAAGCTGCTTGGGAGGCGGTGAGCAGTGGGCCCTGAAAGGCTGGGAACAGGAATTGGAAGCCCCCATTATGCTGAGTGAAGTGATAGGCATAGGAGCTTGTTCAGTGTGAGTGTGAAGGATGAAAGAACAGGGCGAAAGGGACCCCGTAAGGGATCTGACATAGAATGCTTATGTTTTATATATTTATTACCGTGAAGAGATAAAATTGAGCTGTATGTGGTGACTGTAATCCTGGCACTTGGGAGGCTGAAACAGGAGGATCATAAGTTTGAGGTCAGCCTGGGTGTCTTAGGTAGGGTTTCTATTGCTGTAAAGAGACCCTGTGACCACAGGAGCTCTTAAAAGGAAAAGCATTTAATTGGGGCTGTCTTACAGTTTCAGAGGTTTAGTCAATTGTTGGCACAGTGAGAAAGAAGCATGGCAGCGTGCAGGCAGACATGGTACTGGAGAAGGAACTGAGAGTTCTACATCTTGATCAGTAGGCAACAAGAAATAACCTGGGCCACACTGGGCATAGCTTGAGCATTTATGAGACCTCAAAGCCCCTCTCCACAGTGATGCACTTCCTCGAACAAGGCCACACCTCCCAGCAGCACGACTCCCTTTGGATGAAGCATTTAAACACATGAATCTAATAGGCCATGCCTATTCAAACCACCATTCTAGGCTACAAAGTGAGATCATCTCAAAGAACACAAAAGAATAAAACAAAATAAAATTGAGGGGAAAAAAAAGGGAGTCTTTTAGGGAATGGATGAAGAAGCGCTTATAAAGGGAACTAGGTAGATGCAGTGTGAGAAGCAAGGGGAAAGCAGAGAGGTCACAGAGGCCAATGGGAAGGATGACTTCATCAAAAGCCCACATGACTCCTATCCAACAAGAAGACTATTTTGGCTCAGTGATGGGGAGAGAAGCCATCATGGGAGGCATGAAGAACTGAAGGGGAGAAGTGAGGAGATGGCAACCTGTAACTCCCCAGCATCTAGGTGGTAGGTAGCAGGGTTGTCATTAAGGGATGGTGTGGGACCCAGCAGCAGGACTTCATTTGTTTAGGATGGGAGCAAGTTGATCACATGAGGAAGCATGAGTGGAGATGTAGAAAGTAGAGCCATAAAGAACCATCCTGATGGCATAAGACCTCCTAGAAGTTGCCTACTGTTGCCTGCTACATGGCCCTCTCTACACTTGGCATTTTCCTCCTTCAAGGCCAACAGAAAACTGAAGTTTTGTTTCCTTTTAAAGAGTTCATCTAATTAGAGCAGGACCGCCCAGGATCATTGACCATCCCCACTTTGATGGGCATAGGGTAGTAGATTATTCTTGTAATCCCAGGAGTTCATCTGTGCTCTCATAGTCGCTGGTCTCTCCCACTCAAGGGAAGGGACTGCACAGAGGAATGTTCCCCTGGAAGGGTAGGTGCCTGGCACGCCATCCTAGGATTCTGCTCCCACAGACATTGTGAAGGAACTGCCTGTAACAGTGCCAGGAGGATTATAATAGCTAATGTGGCATTTCTGTGTATATAAATATAATGTGGCTTGATGCTGGTAGGACTTTCCTCTGTGCCTGCCTTGCACATTACAGGTGTGTAGTTCATGTCTGCCGGGTTTGGATGGATTTGACTAGATTTCACCAGAGCATTCTAAGGGGGCAGGTGCTGGACCAGCCTCTGCCCTGTTGCCAATACTTTATTGATTCTCGCTTTTTCTTGGCAGGTGGGCATGAAGACTTTTCTAAAATGATCGATGAAGCGGAGCCCCTGGGCTACCCAGTGGTGGTGAAGAGCACGCGGGGACACCGGGGTTAGTGGTGCTGCTGGGAAGCCAGACCGTGCAGCTGCCGTTCTGGGAACAGGGATGCTGTGCACACTCAGAGTGTGTTCTGTCACTGACAGTCCCCTCTCTCCTGAACTCCCCTGAGCAGATGTAGATTCTCAGGTTCACAGCCAGCACGTCTGTGCTTTCTTTGGAGTAGACTCTTGGAAACAGCTGTTCTCCTTCTCCATACACCCTCCCTGTCCCCACGTTACCTCTTATACCAAGCCCACTTCCTCATCATAGTGCCAAGGCCTGTGTAGATGACTGTTGTGAGGTCTCTGTCCCACCGGTCCTGTAGCTGTTCAGTCCCAAAGAAATATACAGAGGCCTGCATTATCAGTGAGGCATTCTCATCTTTCTACCTCTGCATCTGGGTGATGACTGCAGACTGAGCCTTTCCTCTTCCAGAATTCTCCTATTCTGGTCACCCCACCTATACTTCCTGCCTGGCTACTGGCCAATCGGTGTTTTAGTAAACCAGTACAAGTGATAAGTCATACAGGGTACAAGACCATTGTCCCACAGTATTTCCTCCTTTTTTTTTTTTTAAACAAGAGCTCTGAATCTAATCTCCTTTGTTTAGCTTTTTTTTTTTCTGACTATTATTCATAACAACTTGTAACCAGCGCTCTAGACAAAGACAAATATCCATAATCTACTTTTGGGGAATATGGAAGTAGTTTTCCAGACTACTTCCTGCTGATTGGGGACGTTGATAATCTTATGGGGACCTAAAGAAAATTTAGGATTATGGTCAAGTCCTTACTGGAATATTCTTTGAGGCTGGATCATCTTAGCCAGCAGTCTTGGGGCTGTTCTGGGTGCAGAACTCAGAGGAAACTCCAACAGAGGTCTTCTGAAATGTTGGCTCATCTGGGCCATTTGCTCCTATCAGAAATTTTTCAGGGGGGGTCTTCTTTGATCAAATCTGATTTTTCTTAACCCAGAATGAATCCACAGCCTCTCATTTTCTGTGGAAACAAAAGCAAAACCTCTTCTCCAAAGTAGCATATCTTTTGACTTAAATTTTAAGTCAAAGCGTTTTCAAAATATATAGGTTGGATTAATCCAGCAGCATTTGTAATCAAATTGTCTTTTAGCAGCTGTTGCTCCTTCCTCATTCATCAAACAATTCAAAGACAACACAATAACATACAGTATCCAGATTCTCTGTATTTTTTCATCTTTATGTGGTTTTATTTTAAACTCTATTTCTTTTATTTGTATTTTTAATTTTTGGTTTTTTGAGACAGGGTTTCTCTGTGTATCATTGACTATCCTGGTGTTCACTCTGTAGAAAAGCTAAGTGTGGCGGTGTGTGCCTGGAACCCTAGCTCTGGAAATACAAAGCCATTAGGATCATTAATCTTGCCTAATTGGTGAGCTCCAGGTCCCAATGAGAAACCTTGTGTCAAAAAGTAATGTGGAAGACCTGAGGAGATGGCGGAGATGGCGCAGTAGATGGAGCACTTCCTGTGCAAACGTGCGCACCTGAGTTTGAAACTTCAGCACCCATGTCAAAAGCTAGGTGTGGCTGAATGTGCCCCTAACCCCAGTATTAATAATAGTGGAGCAGGTAGAGACAGGATGCTGAGGGCTGGCTGACTGGCCAGCTAGCCAAAACAACTAGCTTCTAGTTCAGTTAAAGACCTTGTCTTGGTGCAACAAGGGGAAGACACCCAACACCTTCCTCTGGCCACCACACGTGTATGCATGGGTGCACATTCCATCATGCTCACATGCATGTACTATACCTATGCCACACACAGTCACACAGGAAGGTGGGGGCAATAGAAAGCACCTGACATTGATTTCTGAGCTCCAGCCCCTCACAGAGTGTATGCACACACCACACACACAAATGAAAGAAGGTGTCTGCCAGAGGTTCCCTCCTGTGAGCCCTCAGGCCTGTCTTGAGGCAGTAGCATGGACCTTGTGGGCCTCTTACTGTGCTGTGGTTGTCCTCTTTGCAACACTCTCCAGCCACACTTGAGATTCCGTGGCACCTTAGGGTGGTGGGAAGCACTGGCTGTAGGAGCACTGACTGTAGGAGTCTTGGGATCTTATTTTGTCCCTCTTTCTGAGTTTCTGTCCTACTTTATAGTTGCATTTTGAACAAGGAGCAGGCTCAGGTTACACCCTGTAACTCAGCATTCTGGGGAGCTAGGAACATGGGTGCGGAAGGAGATGGTGAGGTTAAAATCTGAAAAAAAAAATAAGCTTCAGCGCTCTTTGAGGAGGAAAGAGTCTCAGAGAAATGGGAGGGGCCGATACGCGGAAAGTTGAACCTGTTAGGGGCAGGGAGGCGGGCTGGGGGAGGTAGGCCAACAGCTTCTCCAGCTCTCGCTCTTCGTCTCTCTTCTGAAGGAAAAGCTGTTTTTCTGGCCAGAGACAAGCATCACCTCTCTGATATCTGCCACCTGGTCCGCCATGACGTGCCCTACCTGTTCCAGAAGTATGTGAAGGAGTCACACGGAAAGGACATCAGGGTGGTGGTGGTGGGTGGCCAGGTGATTGGCTCCATGCTGCGCTGCTCCACCGATGGCCGTATGCAAAGCAACTGTTTTCTAGGTAAGATGGGGGAAGGCTTGAAGGGGTCTGACCTCACTGGGCCATGTGGCCTGCTCAGTGAACATGTGCCGACCCCTACTCCTGTGTCAGACCTTCTGCTGATTGTGGATCTCACGGGAAGTCAAGGGCTGGGCCAGAAGACACAGTCCTGGAGGTCAAGACACTGAATGAAGTCTGACACCTTGTGTGTAGATGATAGGACTCGAGGACAGATTGTCAGGGAAGTGACGGGAGGACCAGGGAAAAAGTCCATATAGTAAGGCATGGAAGGTGCCAGGAAGGAGCTGAGGAGACTGCTTTGACAACTATAGCCTCTCAGACAGATGACCAAAGGCCTTCCAGGTGTGGCCACCCCATGACCCTGGGAGCTCCAGGAGCTGAGTGCAGCCCAGCAAGCACAAAAGCACAAACTTACTAAAACATTTTTTAAATTTTGGGGTGTGTGTGTATGAGAGAGAGAGAGAGAGAGAGAGAGAGAGAGAGAGAGAGAGAGACTTGATTGCAGTGAAGCAAGGCTGCAGTCAGGGGGACCTTGTATTTGCTCTCACATTTTAATTGAAGATTTCCTTCTCTTCTCATGGACAAAGCTGCCAGAGAGCTGCAGTCTTTATTCTGGCTGAGTGCAGAAGCCCATCCCTGTAGCCTTCTCGGAAAGCTCGTTCTCTGTCGCAGGAACAGAGACAATAGCAAGAGGGACGTAACAGTGTCCTCCCTTGTCCCCACCTCAGAAAACTGTGGTCAGCCCTGGGGAATGAATTTGTGTTGCTAATTTGGAAAAAGAAAAGCCCTATGCTCCCCCCCCCTCCCCGAATGCATACTCCAAGTTCATTGACTACCTAGTAAAGGAGCTCATTTGCTGGTTGGTCTTGCTTGGCTAGAAGTCCCCAAGCACCCCATCTCATCTTCAGTGGAGTCTGGACAACATATTATGAATCAGTTCTTACCCTGGGCTAGCATGTGGCCCAGAAGCTGTGAGATACTCTGGCCACACAGGCAATAAGTCTGACACTGCTCAGCCCTTCAGCGATTATCTTCATTACACACCAATCACGTGCAGAGCTACATGTGAATCCTTGTATGTGTGGGTACACGTGGTGTGTGGAGACCCCAGGTTGATAGTTTATTATTATTTATTCTCTTTCATTTTCTGGTACTGGGGGCTGAACCCAGAGCCTTGCACGTGCTGGGTAGGCGCCCTGACACTGATGCTCAGCCCAGCATTACTAATGATTATAAAGTATGTTGTTCTATCTACTGTATGACAGGTAGATTATAATTTTTCATTTCCCTAACAGTCATGTATTGAATACACACTGTGTGTCAGTCACTGTGATTTTCTAATATTTATTTTTAATATGTGGGTGGCCATGGGGACCAAAAGAGGACATTGGAGCCCTGGAGTTATAGGCAGTTGTGAACCACCTGAAATGGGTGCTGGGAACCAAAGTAGAGTCCTCTGGGAGCTCAGTCAGGGCCTTTAACCACTGAGTCATCTCTCCAGCCCCAACGCTCTAAAATTTTAAGTAACACTGAATAGAAGTACTTGTCTCACTAGCCCTCCGTCACCAGTCCCCTCTCTCTCCAAGGGTCATCAGCGAGTGGCATTTGTCACCTTCACATTGCTGTGCTTTCTCCCCAGGTGGTGTGGGCGTCAAGTGCCCACTGACAGAGCAAGGCAAGCAGCTGGCTATCCAGGTATCCAACATCCTGGGCATGGATTTCTGTGGTATTGACCTTCTCATTATGGATGACGGCTCCTTCACGGTGTGTGAGGCAAACGCCAATGTCGGCTTCCTAGCCTTCGACCAGGCGTGCAACTTAGATGTAGGGGCGATCATTGCAGACTATGCCATGTCCCTGCTGCCCAACAGGCAGATGGGGAAGATGGCCATCCTCCCCGGCCTGTCAAGTCCCAGGGAAAAGAATGAGTCAAATGGCTGTGCTCCAGCTCAGGGAGTTGAGAATGTCTATACCATCAATAATGGGTCTACCTCTAGTGAGAGTGAGCCTGAACTGGGAGAGGTCCGGGATTCCTCAGCAAAAACGATGGGGGTCCCACCTCCCCATGTTGCCCGAGCCTGGTTACAACATTAACAGAATTGCTTCGGAACGCCAGTGAATTCCTGCTTTTTTTTTTTTTTGGCAGCATTTAAACCAAATCCTCCTGCTTCCCTGAGTAGTGTCCAGTGAGTAAGATCTGGAGTAATGAGATTTCACTTGCACAGAAACTAGAAAATCCCATCTAGGCACTCAGCATTCTTTCTAACAACGGTTTGAACAAATAGCCCAGCTTCGTGGTTTTTATGAAGACTCATATATATATATAAAAATAGCCACTAAGAACAACATCCCAAATGGTCTATCTGAGACCAATGTCTACTGCGAGCACTTGGCTGGAAAGGTAGGCTTTAAGGTTCTGACTCTGCTGCTGCTGCTCTCCCAGCTGTTAGCAGCAGCAGGCATGAGCTTGGCTCCCGGAAGCAGTTCTCACATGCAGCCAGGAGATGGAGGCATGGGCAGGATGCTCAGAGAATGCGATTAGAGGATGTCTCTGCTCTCCCCCCCCCCCATCACCATCTTCCCCACCCCCGGCACCGTCTGACCACACTCCTCCAACACTCAGGAGCTCCTCCTCGCTAGCCGCCTCACTGAAGCGCTTTCCGAAGGTGAGGTGGAACATTCTTTGATCGGTTGGCATGTGTCCTGCTTTGTAACAGGACGTTTCTACAGATGGCTTTGTCACTCAGACTTCATACCCCTGCTTCACCGAATGCCGGCTCTAGCAGCTTCACGCACCTTTGCTGCCTTTGGCCTCAACTGGAAAAGCATCTGGATGAGCTCTGGCCACACAGTTTGTTTCTTGTGCACCGGACCCCAGCTCTACGGACTTCTCTTTTCAACGGAGTTTGCTCACTCATCGTCTGGAAACCAGTGGGATTTTGCTACAGAAAGCTACTGGACAATGACTGTTTTCCCCCCTCCTCTGGATGTTCTGCTCCTACCTAGACTCCGGGAACCTGCCCTTATCTGTTTTTCCAAATTGGGGAGACGCTGGTATTTGTGGAGGGGTGAGCGGGGCTATTGTAGACATGATACCAAATATTTCCCATTTTAACTCTTCAAGCAGTAGATGAGATCTTTCTCTTGGGAGAAATTGTGGAGATGGAGTTTTATGTTCCTGCTTATAGGAAGTCTAACGGAAAACAAGCAGTGACCAAATGCTCCTGAAGAGGTGCATCCTGGAGTTACCTCACTGCAGTTACCTGGGAGGCCGTCCTTTTGAGCCTCTATTGCAGTGTCAAGAACATTGAGGATTCCTCTTTGGGATAACCTCAGAAGCCATCAAAGGAATGAGGCCTCCTAACTTTATCAATGGGCCTTGTTTAGTTTCTTTTACCCTCCTCCCACTCCTGCTCCCTGTCAAGGCAGTGCCAGGTCTCACCACCCATTGCATTTGCCAGATAAAATGCTCTTTGGCTATTAAACATCGTAGACCTACCCATAAAGGACGAAGATTTGCCCACTCTGAGGAAACGTATAAGTTGACAGTTTCCAGAGACAGTTCTAGAAATGCGAGTTGGGTTTACTACACTGGAATAAACACACTTTCCTTACGGCATCTACTTTGAAGGCAGCACCACCCGAGAGTAAGGGCAGGCACACACTCCCTGGACTTACTCTAAGTGTAAAGTGTGTGTAGTCAGAACTGTAACATTTTTTTCCGCAACACATTTAAATAGAAATTGGCCTTGAAAATAGGGTAGTCAGAACCAGATTTCACCAAGCAACAGTCGTACAAATGAAAACTGTTGGTGCCATGCCATTGAGGTCCCACCTCACAGCTGTCATGTCTACGCAGTCTCACCATGGATACATGCCACTGAACTAAAACCCGAGTAATGTGTCTGTGTAGTTGGAAACTGACAACACTTCACCCTTGTAGACTAAGACCCATATCTTCTTACCACTCAGGGCCCAGGATGGCTTTAGAATAAGGCTGATTGTGTTCTCTTGCTGCTGGAAGTGGTCAGATGTGAGCCAAGCGTTGGCCTCTTGGAAGGCACACTCATGCATGGCCGCTGTCTAGTGCAAGACTCCTCTTATGGGTCTGAGTCCATTAAGGCCCCGACAGAGCGGCTCAGACTGTTCCCAGATTCCTTTGCCAAAGGAAGCCCATTTCCCAGCTGGAAGAGATGTCTGTCATTGGCGTTACTGCCCCAACTAACCCTGCCTAAAGGCAGAGAGAGCTGACTCACCTGGATCCTAGCCCTGCTCTGGGATATCCATCCCACAGCTGGCTGTGGACAATTATTTGAGTCTCAGCTTGGTGGCCCAGCCATTCTTGCCACAGCTGCCTACACTTGCTGAAAAGAACATGGGGACGCAGAACCGGGTTCTGGTTCTGCCAACACAGCTGGCCACCTGAGCTTCTCCATAGTTCCTCTCCCTAGACAGGGAAAATGGCCTATTACATTTACCTCTTGGTGCACTCTGAGGTTGAAGTGAGTTAATAAAGCACAACTGTGCATTTGTGGAGGTGGGGACAGACACCTCCCACATGTAGCTTTATGTTTCTCATCACTCCTCTGAGAGCTAAAAGGAAGAGGCTTAAATTCTTGACATTAACTCAACAGTAGTACGGACCCAGAAAAAAAAATACAGCTTCTTAGAGGCCTTCCTTCTAGCCAGAGGTACTTCACAGCCTAAAAGGAGTAAGGCTCTTGGGATCGCCTGAGAATCTGGATGTATCCTGTCTGACCTGAAACCCTTGACTCATGTATACCAACACAACACCAAGTCTTCCTCTGTAACACAGATTCAGGGTATGTATATGGTCTTCCCACTGTCTGGTAGCAACATCTTGAAACTGGTCAAAACTTGAATGTCACTCAGAATATACACGATTCTGCACTTGGGGAAAAATGTCTTTGGTTGTCTTGTCTGAGTGTGTGCAGGGCAAACGGAAGGTGGCCTGGAGACCTTAGGGCTTTAGAATGCGAGAAACAGCATGAGTGAATCTGGGCCATCAGTGTTGCTGACTCAGCGCTCCTACCTGAGCATTCTCAGGCCAGGGAGGGGAGGAAATCAGGATCACTTGGAACTCTATAGAGAAAAGGAGGGGAAATGGACACCCTGCAAATATAGGAAAGATGGAAGCAGCTAATTTGGGGGACAGAGGGGGTTCTAGGACCGACCAAGTCCCAGAATACTGAGTACAAAGCTTAAAGTGGGGAGTGGCTTCATCAGGCACAGCTGGACACTGCCCCTGTACTCACAGGCACAGCCTCCGCCTGGTGGTAGTCTGGGCAGGTGTGAGGCGGACACTAGCCACGGCTATTTGTCACTGCTCTCAAAGTTCCTGTTCTTAGATCCTGATAGAAATCCTGGTGGTGTGACTGGAGAGACAGCTTGGTAGTTAAGAGCATGGGCTGCTCTTCCACAGGACCCAGGTTCAATTCCCAACACACACACACACACACACACACATTCTACTTTATAACTATAACTCCAGTTCCAGGGGATACAACACCCCCCTTTCTGGCCTCCACAGGCCCTAGGCACACATGGCACACAGACACAAAATATTATAAAAAAAAGAGTTGTTGAAAAAAATTCCCTGATGTTGCTGTTGGCTTAGGAACTCAAGGTTCATACGAATAATTGCGTTAAGAAGTGCCTTAGTTACTTTTAGGCTGCTAAGATAAAGCATCATAGCCAAAGCAGCTTACAGAGGTGAGAGTTTTTGTGGGGCTTGTGCTTCCAGCGGGGGCCATCACAGCAGGGCAGCGTGACAGCAAGCACCAGCTTGGTGGCAGGAACAGATGAGAAATCTTGAACTGCAAACAGGAAATGAAGAGATTGAACCAAAATGAAACCTCAAGACCACCCTCAGTGACACACTTCCTCCGACAAGGCCACACTGCCCACGCCTCCCCAAAGAGCCACCAACAGGGGACCAAGTGTACTAATGCCCGAGACTTACGGAGGGACAACTCATTCAAAACACCACAGAAAGTTTTCCCTAAGGGAGCATCTTGAAGACAAACTGTTCTAACCCTTTTCTCCAACAAAGCCAGTCACTGTTGCAAATCTATGAACCCTGGCACCTCCGCTCCCAAGGTTCGCACAGCTCGGTCTCAACTCCCTTCTGAGCTTTTCCATTTCCTCCTAAAGATGCCTTTCCTATGCCAGCAACACTTAGGGCCACCACAAAACTAGCTTCCCAGCCCCACTCAGTAACCTCTGTAACTTCTGAGACTCCAATGTAACATTAGAAAGGTCACACCAGAGAGCCAGGTTGGAGACGAGTATGTTCCCCATCTTGTGAAAGGATCTGAGTTCCAGAAGCCAGAGACATTTGGTCGGTTAGCAGCAAGGCTAGACCTAGCATACTGCCAGAGGCGAGTCTTCCTTCACCCAGCTAGCATTGTCTGCCATCCCACCCTCTACCCTTTCCATTCAGAAGGGTTGGTCAAGCACCGTGATATCAATGAGCCAGCTGCCTGGGCCTCAGCACTCATATGGGTGTGTGGGTGGGCGTGAGTGAGGTTTGCGGGGTGTAAGGCTGGGCCCTTCACAGACCGGTGGAGAGTGATTGCTTCACCTTGCACTTGGTCATGGGATGTGAGGGGGAAGGTTCAGGCCAAGCTGACAGAGGGCCTCCTGTGTCCCAGCTTGACTGCTGTCTCTCACTGCTGAAGTCCTGGAGATCAAGGGTCAGGCTCAGCTGAGGGGGAATCCAGTAACACGCTCCAATTGCAGACAGCAATGATGTCAAAAGCCCCCGCCCCTTCTGTTTGCATCACCTTTACAATCAGACACACGGTAGAGATTCTTCCCGGTGAAGCCCAATGTCAGCGGGCAGCCACCCCTTAGAATCAGGTGGGTCTGGTAACAGCCCCTGAATTTCTGTGGGTTCTGAAGGACTCATGTTTTGGCAGCACCTGCTGGCCCCAAACCCCTGCTATCTCGTCCTAAGCACTAGTGTTGTCCCCACACTGTATCCATTAAGGCAAAAAGTTTCATTCCCCGCTCCGTTTCTACACACAGCAACAATTCGTGGAGTGTGTGTGTGTGTGTGTGTGTGTGTGTGTGTGTGTGTGTGTGTGGTGCGTGAGAGGGCAGCAGAGACTGCAGCAGCGCAGGTGTGACCACACAGAACATCCTTCTCACAGACCACAGGGGAATCTCCAGGACCCTTCTTCCACGTGGTATCTGTCCCTGCTTCCCGGAACAAGTAGGATCCGTTCGTGCACCTGAATGCAGCCATTCTTTTACCTCGATTCCAGTCAACGTTTCACCTTAAACTGGTGGCTTTAAAGGCATTGTCTTCAACATGGCTCCCTCCCCCAGGGGAACCTAAATGCCCTCTCTCAAGGCGCCACACTTCATTCTCCCTGCACTGACTAGGTTAACGCCATAGCAACCATTTGCACGTCTAGCTCTCCGTACGCCTGTGGAAGATGATGGGGACTAGAGTCAGTGGTGCCAGTTTGGGACGGATCTGGTTCAAACCAGATAACCTTGTGTGACACTAGACACAACCACCACATCTTACTAAATCTTCTGTCAGCTATAAATATGATCAATAAACACAGCCTTGAATGTGAAAGAAACATTTTTTCACAGGCAGACCTGGCTTTCTTTGGGTGCCTTGCTCTCGTCCCCCGCCCCTGCTGTGAGCAATCAGAAGCAGTGCCTTCCCAGGACTGTGGCTGGGTGCCAAGGAATAAAAGCAGGCAGACAGCAGCTTACAGCTGGAAGGAAGGGATGCGGAGGGTGGGGGAGGGGGGAGACGGCTGCAGGAGCAGACTGTGGTACAGGCTTAATGTCTGGAAGGCTCCATCCATCCTTGAGACTGTATGGCACAGCAGTGCAAGCCACGGGGAATGTATACGACTTAGAACAATTCTGGCGGAGAGGCTGTCTGGGACACGGGGTGGCTGGAAGCTGCCAGGAAGCCTGACCTTGCTGCTTGATTTAGCACCTGGTTTTCTTGGCTCTTTTGTCTTAGATCTTAGGCTTTGCATCACATGGACAGAGGAGGTGCCAGGGAGTTGCATTAAACCTGTCAAACAGGGTGAGGGGAGCGTGGAAGGGGGGAGGGAGCTGTGCAGAGAAAGCTGATGGCACCATCTGGACTTGGAGGGGACAACAGCCCTGAGGTCAGATGGAAGCAGCCAATAGAGCAAGCCAAAATGCTGCTGTTTGGGGCTGGTCCTCAGGGGACTCCCGGATTCTCCTGTATAGGAGCGCCAATATCTCATAAAGGGAGAACGAGGGACCCTGGGTGACTGGAGAACTGATAAGGTATTTTTGTGAGGGTTGTTTTGGGTGGGGGGCAAGGTTAGGTAGGTGCCTAGTGTGTTTAGTCTTACCTGGAGGCCCCAGAGAGCAGTAATGGCTAGTCCTGGCTCACAAGAATTGATTGCTTATTATTCAAGAGTCTTGTGAGAATGTTATTAAACACAGTCACCAGTTATGACCAAATTGTGTAAGATTATGATTAAAAAAATATTTCAGGGAGCTGGAGAGATGGCTCAGTGGTTAAGAGTGGCTGCTCTTCCAGAGAACCTGGGTTCAATTCCCAGCACCCACATGGCAGCTCACACCTGTCTGTAACTCCAGTTCCAGGAGAATCTGACACTCTCACACAGACATGCATGCAGGCAAAATACCAACGCACATAAAATGAAAATTTAAAAAAAATAAAAATAAAGTAAAATATGTTTCAAACAGAAGCCGCTTGTGATTCAGTTGGTAATTAAAGTGCCCACATAGCGTACATGAGTTCAGTCACCAGCACTGCATAAAACCAGACAGTTCACACCTGTAATCCCAGAAGTTCCAGGTCATCCTGGGCTACATTCAAGGCTAGGCTACATGAAGACCCTGACTCGAAAAAACAAACACTCAAAACTCTAAAACTTAATCCCAGTACTCATAGGCAGAGGCTGGTGGATCTGTGGGTTCAGGGCTAGCCTGGTCTACATAGCAAGTGCCAGACCATGCAGGAATACACAGCGAGACCCTGTCTAAAAACTAAAACAAACAAATGGGGGTATGTGGCCTTAAAACCTCACAATTGTTTCACTGTTCCTTACATTCCTGATGTTATTTGCATTTGTGCACTGGAAATATGACACGGTATGCAATTGGGCATTTCTTCCCAGCCTCACTGTACATTGGCAGCCTGGAATACAGTATGGAGGAGGCATCTACACCACAGAGATGGGCAAACACCACAGCATCAAGAAGGCTGGCGCACCAGTGCCACAGGGTGACAGAGGAAAGAAAATACATACAAGCACAGGAGCGTCTCAGTTCCAGGGAGGTAGCGTGTGTGGAGGTTTTCCTGGAAGCCCGTGGTAAAACCTGAGTGATTGACATGAAGTAGGGCAGACTGCTTGCTAACACTGCTTTCTGCAGCTTCTGCCTACCTTCTGTGATTTTCACAAGAGGTGGGGGAGAATCTGTTTCCATTGCCTGGGCAGTGTGCCTTGGCAGTGTTGAAGTGGTTTGTTAGATACGGTCTCCCCTGTGGGAAACACTTCGGCTAGGTTCCCTTGGGGAAGAGTCCACTCACTGAGGGTTTCCCTTGCAGAACTGGCAAACTGGAAAGCCTGCTGTAAGGAAAGAACAGATGTTAACTGGGACACATTTGCGAGAGGGTTTCACAGCACCAACAAAGTTAACTTTCCCAATAGAGGAGAAATCTGTGTGAGATGCTCTGCTCTTCTTGGCTTTGTTATTAAGATTGTGACTGCGGACCAGAATGGCGCCTTCGCCTTTGTGCTTAGCGACTTTTGGACAGCCTTTTAAGAAAGTCACATGCTGAGTCTTCATTTTATTATTTTCATATCATAAAATAAGGGGGATGCTTCAGAGAGTCTTCATCCTATTCACCCGTGCACCAGCTGCATTCTG